GACATTTTTTCTTCTTCCTACTCAATATCGTATTTATATTATAATCTGATTAAATTTGGATTAAACATTCTTTCAACAAAGTCAACTTTATATTCTAAAAAATTCAAACTCAAAACCTCTAATCAAGGATGAATGATTATTTATCACTCCACCAGTGGCGTAGGCACATGTATGAACACCCTTCGTCGGAAAAAAATTCTGCATATACAAGTAAAATGATTCATATTTTGACACCCTTAGCATAATAGGTTGTTATAGTCTAGTGATTTAATATGTTTTGAATGTGTGTTTAGACATCTTTAATGAATCGATTGTTTAATTTTTGAACCCTCTTTGTGAAATTCCTGATTCTGCCACTGCACTCACCCAACCCTTATTGATATTGTCCAAGATTATATTACTTAGGCATGAGCTAGCTAAAATACTGTTGTGAGTTTGGTTAAAATCAGTACTCCTTCTAGTTGTGAATTATTGAATTAGGTCACACTCTTCAAGAAAAATTTTTGAAAGACATAAATTATAGATATTTTTCCCTATTACTTTTTATTTAATTCTTTCTAAAATATTCTCATAAAAGATTTAAGATAGTTATACTTCATTAAATGGAAGATAAATATGAAAAAAAATATATCAACAAGTCTCTTCAATTCTGACCAATTCACTTATTTTAAATAATAACTTTCTTTTCCAATAATTTACTTAATATCAACTAGAGGGAATAGTTTTGATTAAATGAAGAGAAAATTATTTAAATACATAACTTATTTTATTATATTCTTTAAAATTTCCTATCATTTTAAAAAAATTAAATTATTTTGGTATTATAAATAATATTAAATTTATAAATTTTAATACGATATTTTAAGATCTTGTAAAGAGCGGGAATATAAATCAGTATTTAATAATTGATAAACATATTTTTAGGTAGAAGTAGGGATTTCTAATTAATGTGTAAAAAGTTTTTGGGTTTTTGCACAAAATTTAATTTTTTTAATGTGTATTCATAGATCTTTCTTCTCTCTCAGAAAAATCCTCTCTATATTTTCTTCAAAATCAGTAATAGTAAATCGAAGACTAGTTTTTCAGTTGTCTGACTAAAATCTTTGCAAATAAATATTGCAAGTTTTCACAATTCTCCTCTTTGAGCTTGAATGAAATTTGTATATTGTGATAATTTTTTGTGGTGGGTTTGGTGATGAGTGAAAAATTAGTGGTGGTATGACTTTTTAATTTTGATAATGACAATGAAACTCGTGATTTTGATGTGGATGGTGTATGGTTATGATTATGATGAATTTAAATGATAGTGATATGGTTCCGATGGTGAATTTAGATAAATTTATGATGTTTGTTATCGATTTTTATGATGGCAATGGTTGTGGGAAGATTTCGGTGATGAATTTGATTATGGGTGGTGAAATAATCTATGGTGGTGGAGAAGTAAATTTGATGATAATAACAACAATGGTAGTGATTTAATAGTGGATTTGATGGTGTATAAGGAAGAAGAAGAAATTGGGTGACATGGATTTTTTTAAAAAGAAATTTCTGACGTAATTATTGATGTGGCAATGACACGGTGATGACGTGGCACAAGTGTGAAATACTTTCTCATCATGTAACTGCAGGTTGTATATGCGTCAGGGGTAAAATAAATTCACTTTTAAGTAATTCAGGTGTGTAATAGGTTGTCACAATAGTACTCCCTCCGTCCACTATTAATTGTCATACTTTCCATTTTAGAAGTCAAACTATAAAAACTTTGACTAACATTTTATGATATATTTTTTCATCATATTGATATGTAAAAAATTGCAATTTATAGTACTTTTCATATAGTTTTTGACTATCTAAATTTTTTGTTTAAAATATTGAATTAATGTAATCTAATTTAACTTTGAAAATAAGTCATAACATTCAAACATTCATCAATATATATTCATAACATTCAAACATTCATCATATAATACTCAAAACACTTCAATTACTAATCTAACTTCAAATTAACACTTTACTAACTAACAATCAATCAAAATTTTAAATAAAATCCTAAATTCAAAAATCTTCAATTCATAACCTAATAATAATCCTAATTCAAATCTTGAAAACCCTAACAAAAATCCTAATTCATTCACTAACTAACAATGCCCAATTCAAAATATGCCTAATTTTAAAATAAATCCTAAATTCAAAAATCTTCAATTCTATATACCTAACTAACAATAATCAAATCAAATTAATAATTGCTTAACCACAACCCAATAAACTAAAACAATAATATACTAACTAAAAACCAACTATAATCACAAGAATTGAAAAAAACCTACAATTAAGAACTAACTTAAAATGAGGAGAGAGGCAGCGGCGGCAGCGACCGGCAAACAGCGAGGGAAGGAGCTGGGGCGGCGTCTTGCGGCGGCGTATGGAGGTGGCGGCGACGGAATAGAGTGAAGAGAGAAGGGAGAGAATAGAGAAGAAGAGAGAGAACAAAACTAGAAATCCAGATCTAGTCAAGATATTTTAAAAGAAGCGACGGACAACGTCTCTTTGTCCGTCACTTTTCTTAAATGTTTGACCAAACATTTTGACTAAAAAGCGATGGACTTTGAGATGTTGTCCATCGCTTCTTTAAAAAATTAATTAAACAATTCATTATTAATTATATATAGTGTTGGCGTAAAAATCCGCAAAAAAAAAAAAGCGAGAACGGCATCATTAAATAAAAAATTATTTTTATTAAAAAGCGACGGACAATGTAGCTAATGACGTCCCTTTTTGGAGCGACGCCGTCCGTCGCTTTTATGTCCGTCATTTTTTAGCAGTTTTTTAGTAGTGGTATTACTCCCTCCGTCCCATTTTATATGACACTTTTCGAATTTCGAGATTCAAACAAGTCTAATTTTGACCATAAATTTTTTATAGATCGTTTAAACATTTTGAATTATCAATTGTTGTGACTTATAGTACTTTTTATGTAGTTTACAAATATATAAATTTTATTCTTTTTTAAAATGAAGATTTCATGCGCAAATTCCCAATCAAACTGAAACTGTTTGACTCTCGAAAAACGAAAAATGTCATTTGGGATAGAGGGAGTGGGGTAAAAAATACTTTCCTAAAAAGATAAATAAAAATTTTACTTAAATTTTTTTTCTACTTGTGTACCGAATATAACATAATTAAAAAATTTATTTAAAAAAATTCTTGCGGCGGCAAGTAAAAAATACTTTCCTAAAAAGATATGTATATATATCTAAAACAAAACGAGAATTTTTTTTTGAAGCAAAGGGTTAGGTGAAGTGCGGTAGAATTATTCTTTATTAATATCTAAATTATTATTTGAAGGGGCTGGGGGAGAAAGATTAAATAAAAATAAATAAATACTTTTATAAAAGAAATTTAAACAAAAAAATTAAAAATGGGTGGGTGGGGTATTTGTGTATTAAGAAAGTTAAGGGTGACATTGGGGATTTGTGTATTGAAATTAAATAAATACTATTAAATTATTTAATTTTTGTCAAGGTGGAATGTTTTGTCCACTTGGAGTGTGATGTGATAATTTTTTTTAAAAATAAAAGAGAGTGTAGTACACACCATGAAGAGAATGTAATAAAAGAGAGGAGTGTGTTTATCAAACTAATAAGTGATAGTTTAGTTATGAAACTCACACTCTCAATAGTTTAGTTATGAAACTAAAAAAAAATAGATGATTTAGATGTGCTTTTGACATTTATCTCCGAAAATCCTTCTATTGAATCTTTCAGTAGGATCACAAATGATTTACCAATTTTTTTTGCGTAAAATTATTTGATAACCAACAAAATATATCTTGAATAGATATGCAAATTTTATTTTTTTTAAAAATTATTATGATTATGATATATTTTAACTTAGCTTTTAAATATGTAAATTTTATTTTTTAAAAATTTCAACAATTATGCTTAAACTCACCATCAAAATTAAATTAATTAACTATTGTAATTCAAAGAATGTTATGGAGTACTTCTAAATAGCAATAGGATTAATATAGCCGGGTTGACGTTACAGTTGGGAGGTCAAAAACACTTATTTTGAGAAAAAAAAAAATTTTATAAAAAATTTAAGCATTTGACAAATGAGTAAAACTACTTTTAAATGAAAGCAAAACAATTTTTTTTTTACTATTGAAAAGAAACTTAACATTTCTATTTCTTAAAAAAAAAAAATAGAAAATTATATTTTCCTCTGACTTAAAAAGGGGTTTTATCGCTAAAGAGCCGACACTTTCGCTGACGTAACAAGATTAGAAGCCCACTGGTGACTGGACAAGCTGGACGGTTAATCTGTTATCTACATGTACTTTAAAAATGAGTAGGCAGTAGATAAAATTTTATCCAGCTCATTTTCTTAAAATCCCCGTGTGTATATATATATCTTAGCTTTTTCTTCTCATACCAAAATACTATAATCATATTTCACTATATTATCTTAGTCTCTTAAATATATAATTTTAATTAAGTATTATTAATACGATCATATATTTATATAAGAGTCTTTTGAAAATATATTACTATTATTAAAATCGGCGATTTTTTTCACTAAATCAAACAGAATCTTCAAATGCGACAAAGGCATACTACGTACATTATATACATGAAGGAATGTCAGTGCAGATAAATCATACGTAATAATACATATAAATCAAACTAGGTCAAATGAAAATTTCTAAATTTCACCTTCTACATTAATTACACTATAATTATATTAATTACGATGTAATTACATTATAACAGAGAAACAAGTTATCGTTATAACTATATTATTAAATTACTATTTCTAATAATTATAATAATTCTAATTACCACATAATTTTTTGAACAGGCCCTGAATAAACTGAAGAGTATCTTTACGTAAATATATGGCACATCAATTTTATATTTTTGTAATTTTTTTTAATCTATATGTAAATATATCAGGTACACTTCACTAAGGAATCAAAAAAATTTAGAAAAAGAATATTATTCGTGATGAGCTGGAGCCAACCATCTATTAGTTAATCATATTAAATTACAGTAGTCAAAATCGTAAAAACAGTAGTTGAGTAACCGACTTCACAGTCTAAAAATTTGACTTGCTGACTTTTGTTTCTATAAATACTTGCATATCAAACACTAGCTAGATATATAGATACACATTTATTTTTTGTTGTTGCTTTTAGTAAGCATGGGTTCGTTTATGTCAAAATTGCAACCTATTAAAGTGAGTTCGGAGATCACAAGTAATGTAGTTTTGTCTAAGCTGGCTACTAACGAACAACATGGCGAAAATTCTTTATATTTTGATGGGTGGAAAGCATACGACAAGGATCCTTTCCACCCTGTGAATAACCCGAATGGAGTTATTCAATTGGGTCTCGCTGAAAATCAGCTTTCGATTGACAGGATTGAAGATTGGATTAAGAGAAATCCAAAAGCTTCCATTTGCACACATGAAGGGATTGAATGTTTCAGGAGGATCACAAACTTCCAAGACTATCATGGCTTGCCTGAATTCACCACTGTAAGTACAACTTATGATTTTGATACCTCTCATTCTCTTTCATTTCCAGGCATAACTTGTATCCGCCACCTCACACATCCACCTTTTAGATTCTCTCGCGCAGGAGCGAATCTATGTGCGTGCATGGGTGGGGCTATTACCGCAGCCAGTGACCTCAACTAAAACTTTGTATAAATATGTGTATATATATTTCACTTGTCATCCATATATAATTAACACTGAATTTTTTACGTTTTGCTTGTGAGCGCGCTTCTGCTCTTCCTTCCTTCCTTTTTTTTTTTCCATTAATGTGTGTAAGAATTCTGTTTTCTTTCTTTCTTTCTTCTTCATTTGTTATGAGTACATATCTATTTTATTAATTATTTTTTGGTTGACTTAATTTTTTATTATTTTTATTGACTTTCTCTTTCATTAAATATTAGTAATATTTAATTGATAAGAATGTATGTCGTGTGTTTATTCTATATCAATTATAGATTAATATTAAATTATGAAAATCTCATTAATACTAACAAATATATTTTGATTTTTTTTTTTTAAATGAAGGATATTATTATGTTAAAGTTTTTGAATTTAAAGGTTCTTTCAATCTTTCAAGTAAAACTAAATGGAAAGAATTGGGTTGAAGCTATAAAAAAATTTCTCAACTATATGATATTAGATAATTTATATAAATTCAAATTTTTAACCTGAAAAAATTCGTGTTTTCTCCTAGAGAATAAGGTCTTTTATTCCTAAAAAAGAATATCCAAAAATCAAACTACTTCGACAAATATATTTAATATTAGAATATCAACAAGAAAACATTACTGAATATCCGCCTCTGCTCTCCTCTGCGCATTCCATTTTTACATTCCTCACTATTTTTTACACTAAAATAGTGTATGAACAATATCACATCAAATTTAGCATGACACTATTTAGTGTGACATTATTCAACAATACCACATCACTTTTTTATTATTTTATTATTACTTTTATTATATATTCTTTTTTTTAAAAAAAATAAAAAAAATATAATATTGAGGAAAGATAAAACTATTCCTTTTTAATAGGGCTGTACGTGACCGGATTGGTTAGAGTTTTTTAAATATCAAACTAAATTATTTGTGTAAAACATTTAAATTTATAAACCAAACAAAACTAATGAAATTCGGGGTTTTTCAACCTCGGGTTGGTTCGGGTTTTTCAAATACCAAACCATTGTGTCAAATTTTTAAATTTTTAAATCAAACAAAACTAATAAACCTCAGATTTTTTTCAAGTTTTTGGATTTTTCCGATAAAGTATGCATACAAACATATAATTAACTTGTGCTTCAAATATTTCTTTAGTTCAATCAAAAATACAACTATCTAAGGTGTTCTTAAGAAAATAACACAAAATATGAGATGAGTGATGACACTAAAATATTCAATAAAAAATAATAATGAAAGTATCATATAAAATAAATATTGCAAAGTCATAATGAAAATGATCATAATTTAAAAATACTAAATCATGCTAAAATAAGTCTAATAAGTATTAGTTACATGATTAAACATTAAAGAAAAATTAAAATTAGATTATGTATTTTAAATGTCTAAACCAATGTAAAAACGAAAGAACAAATATTAACATTATTTTCATTCTTAGTATTGAATTAATTTATTTTGTTAGCATAGTATTGATTTGATTTCGAATTGATCTTTATTAGAGTTACTAATATCTATAGACTATAACCTTTATTGAAACATTCAAAATTCTAAGTCTCAAAAAACTTTTAAAAATATGTTAAAAGACAAAAAATATAAATTTTATAAGTAATATTTAGAAATTATATCAAAGTAAATACTTTTATGTATAAAATAAATTTTAAAAATTATATATATAATATCGGGTTGGTGTGATTTCAGGTTGACTTTTTTTTTAGTTAAAACCAAACCAATTCAAGTACAGTTGAATTTTTTTTTCCCAATACCAAACCATTAATCAGTTTTTTCTGCAATTTGATGTTATGAATTGGAGATGCCATAAATATTGTGGTTTGAGAGTGGAGGGGGAGAGAAGAGAGAATTTTTTTTATCATACTTAAATTCTTTTGCTTAATTAAAAGGACAAATTTCAAAATCATAGAGTTGTACATGATGAGCTGGACAGATCCTATAGCTTCAAAGTGAATTTGTTTCATGCTAAAATAATAGGGCCAGCGCTCAAAACATATTTATAATTATTCACCTTGACCTTATTTTATTTTCTGTTTTTTTTTCAGGGAATTGCAAAACACATGGAAAAAACAAGACATGGTAAGGTTAATTTTGATTCAAAACGTATAGTAATGGCTGGTGGAGCTACTGGAGCTAACGAGGCTCTCATCTTTTGTTTGGCTAATCGTGGCGATGCTTTTTTAGTCCCCACACCTTATTACCCAGGGTATGAATGAAGTTTAAGTTATATATATTAACCGTATAATTTTTTTTGTAGTTATTATATATATTGGGGAAAATGCATAAGTTCCCCCCTAGCCTATATCCGAAATCTCAGAGACACACCTAACCTTTACTAAGGTCCTATTACCCTCCCGAACTTATTTTTTAATTAATTTTTTACCCCTTTTGGGCCTACGTGGCACTATCCTTGAAAAAATTGTCAATGTGGGCTGGGCCCACAAGATAGTGCCACGTAGGCCGAAAAAGGGTATAACATTATATATAAAATAAGTTCGGGGGGGTAATAAGACCTTAGTAAAGGTTAGATGTGTCTTAGGGATTTCGGGCATAGGCTAGGGGGTACTCGTGCATTTTCCCTATGTATTGTGTAGATTACTAATTCATATTTTCAACTTAATGCAGATTCAATAGGGACCTATGTTGGAGAACTGGTGTACAACTTGTACCCATTTCATGCAATAGCTCTAATAATTTCAAAATTACTCCAGAAGCTCTCAAAGAGGCATATGAAAAAGGTCAACAAGAAAAAATCAAAATTAAAGGCTTGATTTTGACCAACCCTTCTAATCCATTAGGCACTACTTTGGATAGGGATACACTGAAAAAAATCTTGATCTTCACTAACGAACATAACATCCATCTTGTTTGTGACGAAATCTATGCTGGTACCGTGTTTGATGCTCCACGATTCGTCAGCATCGCTGAAATCATTGAGGACGATGGAATTTGTGTTAATAAAAATTTGATACATATTGTGTCTAGTCTTTCCAAAGACATGGGTTTTCCAGGATTTCGAGTGGGAATTGTGTATTCCTTCAATGATGATGTGGTTAATAATGCTAGAAAAATGTCGAGCTTCGGTCTTGTTTCTACTCAAACACAAAATTTTCTAGCTTCCATGCTATCTGACGATGAATTTATCGAAGAATTTCTTACTGAAAACACCAAGAGGTTAAGGAAACGGCACGAGAAATTCACTAGCGGACTTGAAAAAATCGGAATCAGATGCTTAAAAAGCAATGCTGGGGTTTATTGCTGGGTGGATTTGAGGACTCTATTGAAAGAGCCAACACTTGATGCTGAGGTGTCACTATGGAAATTGATCATAAACAACGCGAAGCTCAACATCTCGCCTGGATCTTCATTTAATTGCCCCGAAGCAGGGTGGTTCCGAATCTGTTTTGCGAATATCGATGATCGAACGGTGGAGATCGCACTCAAAAGAATTCAAATATTTGTGGATGCTAATAACGATATTAATGAAAATGGAATCGTGAAGAACGCATCAGTGAAAGGGAAATGATTTACAAATATAGACTTCATGAACGAAAAGTAGTACGTATAATAAAATTAATATTATGAGCTTGAATATGTTGTCTCCTAATTTTCTGATTGCTAAGGAGAATAAAGAAGAAATTGAAGTTTTTTTTTTTTTTTTTTTTTTTTGTTATAAAAATTATATGAAAAATGTTCGTACCGTGGCCTTATTATGAGTAATAATAATGTTTTTTATTTGATCTTTACAAATGCATATTTTTCCCTTGAAAAAATGACACAAATAATTTCTTGTGACAATTAATTTTTCTCTATCTGCTATTGTTGCAACTTTGTAGTACTTGCTACTTTATTTTTTATCACACTCCAATTAAAGACTAACAAAATATAATGACCAAGTAACAAATTTATCACTACTTATTAGTTACTCTCTCTGTCCACCACTGTTAGTTGTCATGATGCGTTTTTCAAAAGTCAATTTGGCTAATTTTCAAAGTTAAATTAGAGTACATTAGTTCGATATTTTAAACAAAAAATTTAGATAATCAAAAACTAGACGAAAAGTACTATAAATTGTATTTTTTTTTTTGCATATCAATATGATAAAAAAATACATCATAAAATATTAGTCAAAATTCTTATAGTTTGATTCTAAAAAAGGAAATTATGACAATTAAAAGTTGACGGAGGGAGTATTAAGACTCTTTCTTGGGGAATAAATAATTCAAAAGATAAGAGTAAAGTTTAGTGGTTTTTGTGTTAGAAAAAACAGTTAAATGTATTGATGAAAAAGAATAATCATAGTTATGTAATTATTTAAAGAAATTTAAATTTCAAGAATCACAACTTCAAAATACGACCAAACATAAAACTAACCATTTCCGTCATTTTGAGTTTCACTTTCTCAAGCTCCGTCCAGTCTCCGACGACTTCTCCGACGAGTCCCTTGCCACCATCTGTGTTTATCTCTCTATTTCCTTCATCTTTCTTTTTATATTTACATATAAAGGTACCTTCAAAAAAGTAGTAGTTCTACTTAACTCCCTTTTTGACAAAACCAAAAAGTAGGGTGAGTAACTTTGCCAATTGGGAGGAGAAGGTGACAAAATATTTATGTATTATTCTAAATAATGAAGTCAAGTGGATGTTCATGTGGGGCTACTCTACTGTAGCAAATTTCCTTGCCCAAGTCATATATTACTTTAAAGTTGACACCAATTTTCATTTAGACACTTTAATTAGATTTTGTTTATTTTTAGACATCTTACGTAAATTTTTCTTGTGTCATTTTGACACTTTTTATAGACACGTCATAGAGAGTGTGATCCACTCGTTTATTGTGCTAGAAAAGTTTTTTAATCAATTTTTAATTATTTTTTCTTCTTCTTCTTCTCCATTTTCAGCCTCCATTTTTCAAGCTTAACTCCATCCATGGCAAATGTTTTAAAAATTTAAGAAAAGACCTATTTCAAGATTTAAATATTGAAATAGTCATGAAATTCTTTTTTGGAGGAATTTACTATTGTAATATGGAAGTGGATGTGATTTTTCCTCTTCCTTCAAGGTTTCACTGGCCTTCAAACTTTGCTTTCACTGTAAGTGCTTTTTTTTTTTTCCAGTTAATTTTAATGATTTATATTCAATTTTACTGTTTTGTTATTGATTAAGAAGAATGTGAATTCATGACTTAGCTTTATTCTTCTATAATAAAAGGGCTAGTGTATGATTGAGAAGTGGGGTTGGGGTAGGGCAGCGTTTCTGCAAAATAGTTATTTTGGAGAAGACAATTTAGAAGGTTGCAAAATATTTTTTGTTAATTGGTTAAATGTTTTTTTAATTATGTGGGCAAAAATGCCACATGTCATTGATTCATTGGCTACTTTTTATTTTTCTCAAAATTCATTATTTAAGAATGATTTTAGGCACAAATGACAAATGTCGTCATTTAATTAAAAACTTTACGCGTCATTCGCGAGTGCATTACACACACATTACATATTTTTGCTGATTGTAAAGAAAGTATCAAAATGACACAACATGACCTTACATGAAGTGTCTAAAATGAACTTTATAAATAATTCACCCGATTGTTATCTAACCACTCATGTAATCAGAATCATAAATAATTCGCCCGATTGTTACATGATTTCCCTTCAACTTAAAGACTCTGATTTCGTCCAAATCTTGACAAGGTTGGGAAAATCCAAAAGATATTCATTGAAAAAGACACTAACAAAAGATATTTAGTTTGTGAATCATTTACCTTGTTTCCTTGAGATTCAAGTTTGGCTTGGAGCAATTCTTCAAAGAAAAGAATTTCGTCGATTTTTCGCTGCAAAAGATAAGGTACACAATTCGTCGATTTCTTTCTATAGATCCAACAAATGGCATTAAAGCCAGGTTTAATTGTTCCCTGTTTGAATAATGATTGAAATTCTCTGGTTGAATGAATTGAGAAATTTGAAATATGATTATAAATATATTTATCTTTGTCCATTATCGATCTGTTTTCTTTTGGTTACTCGATATTCCTTTATGAGTAGGAAAAAGAGAAAAGATTTACTGACTTGAGTATTTTTTCTTCCTTATGGTTCTTTCATTGAATTTTGTTGAAGTTTTGTTTGTTGTTTCTCATTTTTTTTCCCATGAAAGTAACGGGAGAAGATGAGTAATATTTATAAAGAGTTATTTTATAGGTTGAAAAGGAAAAAGATTTTGAGTTGAATAAGAACTTGAAAAAGTCAACTTCTATTTTTTTTTTGTTAATAAATAAAAAAAATAAAAATTGGAAGAGAGTTTAAGGGACAAGTCATATTCTTTTTGTTAAGGATTAAAAGAGAAAAATAAAATGGTCTCACAACTTTTTCCAATTGGAACGTGTGAACCTTTCCCTTCTTTTTTTTTTTGTCCTTTTCTATAAGGATTAAAGAGGAAAAAAATTGTCCCACTATTTAAATAAAAAGAAAAATGGAGTTTCTTTTTGTCCTTTTCTATTAAGGATTAAAAAGAAAAAAAAAATGGTCCAATTTTTTTTATAAAATACTTATACCATTTTCTTTGGTATCATAAAGAACTATTTTTTTTTTAATGAAGAATAGACAATGGTTTTGTAGTATTTTTTTTATGTTAACAAAGTATTTATTTTATTATTTACTTTAACATAAGATTTTTCAAGTGGTCAAATTAGATTGTGGTTGACTTTGAATTTTTTTTGTAAAGCCATAAGTTATCTTCTTTACTTAACGAAGAATAGTGATAACTTGTTTTGACTAGATTATAATTTTAATTATGTGTATTAAAATTGGTCTTGAAAAAATCTCTTAGTCCTTTAAATTCCTTAAACGGTTCCTTGTCTCCTACGAGAAATTTGTGACATACGTTATCGCATTAAATGGTATTAACTATATTTCCGTTTTTATTTCCATTTCAGATATGGTTGAACGGAAACATGCTCAAATTACTCCAAGTGGGAGTTCTCAAAGTCGAGCAAAGGGACAAGATAGGAGAGCAAGCCGTCGTAAGACATGTTTCTGAGGGCGTGAAATCATAAGATTGGTGTCCCAAGGGCGACACAAAATCTGTCAAGGAACCAAAGGGTCATTCGAAGGGAAAAAGAGAAAAAATTTAAAGTGTTTGAGTCATTGAAGATGTTCCCTAATATGTCAGCACGTGATTTTATTCACCTTTTTGAAATAAATGAGTTGAACTGGCTGATTAAAAGGAAATTTCAGATTGGAGAGTCTTAGCTTATTTAACAGACGCTCTCCATGAACCTTGGGGTAGTAGATTGACTGATTTTTATCATGACATTTGGTTTAGGGTTTACATTTGTTGTCTTGAAGACTTGTGGGAGGATTTCAGTCTTTGAATTACTTGTAAATTTTTATTGCTTATTTGTTTTTCAAGATATGAATTATGTAGTTTGTTTTCTCTCAAATTATGTTATTAGACTTAAAAATTCTTGTTATCAAAGTCTTCAATATATTAATTATACACATTAAGAAATTAGATTTGAATTTTGATTAAATATTTAGTTTGTAGATGATTATTGGATGCATACGTGTCTTTTTGATTTTACATTAAATATGAAATCTTTATGAGAATTAATTTGCTTGAATGTGTATGTCGCATGCATAATTGATTAAAATTCTTGCCTAATTATATGTCAATAACAGACATGGCATCAAAAAGAATCATTGCTGACTTAAACAAAGGTGAAAAATTTAACGGTGGTAATTACGACATCTGGAGTCGTAAAATATGACATGTACTGGAAGAGATTTTTTTTTGGAAGGTATAAATCATGTTTTGAATCAACCAGAAGAGGGTAATACTACACAACACAAAAGGGATCTTGAAGCTTACAAAGCTTGGAAAAAGGCTAACTCTACTGCACGTGGAATAATAGTTAGTTCTATAGTTGATGACCTCATACATGAATGTGAGAAATTCCCTACTGCTCATGCTATGTGGACATATCTGCGAGGAATGTATGGGGGTACGTCTGTAACCCACCTCCGACAGTTGACTATCAAATTTGACACTTACAAAAAGTGTCATGATCAGAATATCAAACAACACCTTAGGGTGATGTCAAACATGATAGCTCAACTCAAGAGTGTTGGTCATGTTCTTTCAGATGAACAACAAGTTCAGGCAGTGATTCGGTCTCTTCCCAATAATTGGGAATATTTGAAGGTTAACTTGACCCATAATGATAGCATCAAAACTTTTTCCGATGTTGCATGCCATGTTGAACTAGAAGATAAGCGCCTTGGTGCTGCTAAAACTGTTTCTAATGCCTTTGTGGCAGAGTCAAGTGGTACAAAATCTTCAGGTTTCAAGCGCAAGAAAAATTGGAAAAGACAAAGACACTGGAGAAAGACCCTCTAAGAAAAAGAAGAAAAACTCCAAGAAAGGAAAACGGTTTTTCAAGAAGAAAGACAAGAGTAAAATGAAGTGCTACAATTGCCAAGAATTGGGGCATTTTTCTCGTGAATGTATTGAGCCCAAAAAGGTAGCATTTTTAAACGCATCTCTAAGTGCTACATATGTTTTAGCACTTCTTTACTAACTGAATCTTATCCTATGTGGATTGTAGACTCAGGATCCACCGACCACGTGAGTCGAGATAGAGAGACGTTTGTGGAGTTTCATCG